TTTTTTTTTTTTTTTTTTTTAAATAAAACATTTTTTTTTTTTTTCGTAAAAGCCTCTCTTTAAAGCTATATAAGCTCTGAAAATTTTTGTTTATCAAATTTTATATATTGCACATTTTATGATAGAAATTTTCCGTTTAATTGAAAAAGAAGATCAGGTGAAAGTGTTAGTAGTACAAAGAAATACTATTTTTAAAAAAGAAACTTAATTAATAAAATTTAATGATATTATTATGAAAAAATTATTTTTAGATGAATGAGAAACACTTTTTTTGTAATTTTCCGATGCTTTTCTTAAGAAAAAAAAAAAGAGAGGGAAAATTTATTTTTAAAAGAATTAATCTACGATCTAACGCGGTTAATTATGCTTTATACAAAAATTATGGCTGTGTAAAATTACGATTACCACAGCCACGATCATCATCTTACGGTTAGCGATTTTTTCCGCTAGGAAAAAAATTTTTAAGTAATTGAGGAGATATTAACGTTATTTTTTTTTCATAAAAAAGCATTTTTTTGATTTGAAGCAATTAGCTTATTTTTTTGTTGCTTGATCACGCAACAAAGGGAAAAAAAAAAAATTTACTTCTTCGTAAATAGCTAATCAAAAGAAAAAGAGAGAGAATTTTTTTTTATTGTGCTCTTTTCGTTAAATTATGTATTGTCATAATGAAGTCGATGATTATATTTTTTTTAATTCATAAATTTCTCGATACTGCAGCCGCAGCAGATAGTTCTAATGGTAATGATTCTTCAGGATTAAAAACTTCAACAAAAATTATAATTGCTGTAGTTGCTGTAATTGGAGTTTTTGTTATTGGGACTCTTATATATTGTTTTCGTAAAGCTAAACCTAAGAAAAGGAAAATTAGGGATATAGGTAGTGCAGGAAAAAGAGATGTAAAAAAACAAAAACCTCGTAGTAGTGTTAGTAATACTTCAAAAGAAAATATTCGCGAACCATTAATGACTACTTCCACTCCCGATGTTCGATTAACTGTAACTACGAATCCAAGTTTAATACAACCTTCAGGAACCACAACCCCATCCAGAGTACCACCTCAAACACCTCTAACTCCACCTCAACCTCAACATTCGGCAATTCCAAGTGCCACTCAAACTACTTTAGCAAAAGTAACTGAATCTCTTGAAGACTCTATCTCATATCCAACACGTAAATCAACAACCGAAATTATTGTAACTACTGAAGTCACAGAATCGCACCGTCCTAGACCTCATACTATAGAACAAAGAGATTCTCCTCCACAATCACGTTCTTCATCAGATTTATCTCGATTTTCAATGCCTCCTACAATTCAACCTCATGGACCACAATCTGAAGTTTATCCTGAAGGTTCTGCATCTATTGAAGGCCAACTTGAACAAGCGACGAGAAGTAGAGATACTTCTCCATATCGTCAATATCATGAATATGAACAAACTTTTGATACTCCAATTGATCCAAGATTACAAACTCAAACTAGAGGTTTAGATACTTCACTATTTTCGGAAACTACAAATATTCAGTCTGAAACTTCAATGCCACCTTATCCTGCCCCTCAATCTCCTTATGATGACCCAACGGGCACTCCTCCTAGAGGAAGACCGGACAGTGTTTATTCTTTCGATGATAATCCTGGACCTACTGTTCCAAGTCCACGTCCATTACAAAGAAGTTCACCTGGTTCATCTCAAAGGTCAAGACGTGGACGTGATCGTCGTGGTGGAAATCGCTAATTTAACTAACATTCAATAAAATATATATATATATATATATAATATATATTTAATTAAATGGTTCTCACAAAAAGTAATTTATTTTTTGCACGTTGTAGTACTAAAAAAAAAATGTGTATTGATAAGTAAACTTTGTATTTCTTTTTCATGTTAAATTACTGTCAAGTAAAAATATTTGTAATTTTTTTTTTTTAACAAACTTTAGTTATTTAAAATAAATATTGGCTTATTTAATATAAGGTTACCGTTTTTTATCGTATGCCCATTATTTATAATAAAGTTTATTTTTATTGAAGAAACTAAAAATAAAACATATCGAATTTAATCGAAAGTCTGCATCTTTATACCGTATCTTTCACCACATACCAATTTAATTATAATAGTAGATATTATAAATTAGATGACATGTGATGAAACATTTGTCTTTAATTTAATCTTGAAGTAAAGTGCTTTATCAAATAGAAATTCTAAACAGCATCTTAAATACATTACAATATATGTATAGTTGCAATAAATAACTTATAGTTTATCGGGATTGTAGATGAGTTGATCTACAATACATACTTCGCCCAAATACGTCCCGTGCGATAATGCTGAGATCGTTCCATAATGTTCCATATCATTTTTACCAATTTAGTAAGTTTCAAAACATCAGTATCCAGTCTAGAACCGGAACATATACAGGTCAGGTGCCAGCCACGTCAAAATTACCGTAATTTATAGGCAAATAACCATTATCAATAAATTATCAGCCATTTTTCAAAATGGTGTATGCAGTTATATTTGAATAAGAAAAAAAGAAACCCGAATATCGGACGAATATCGGACGAATACCGGACAAAAAAACGGATGAAAACAGGACGAATATTGGTACAATCACAAATGAACATTTTGAAAACGACGATGACGTAAGTCGTGATTTTATCATTTTTTTTTATTAACAAAAACGCCAAGGATGTTTTAGATGTTGCAAGTAAAAATACTGTATATTAGATGAGCAGTACATTCAGTGAAACTCGGTAAAGCTCAGAATGAGGTATCATTAGATTCGGTTACAAAAGTGATAACAGAAATAAAATAATAATTTACAATCAAAAGGGTAACAGTTTATGTGTATCACGTTAAGGTTTTGAAATAAATCTAAAATGATTAATACAGGTGCGCTGATAATCAATACAATTTTTACTAGTACTGCCTCTCTGTAGTAAATCCAATACTATTAACACAAAAAAAAAAAAATTCTCAATCAAATTTTTCTCAAAAGAAAAACTTTTTAAACCCTAAATAAACTTCCAGGCAACTTCCCTTCCTCCCTTCTCGATCTTGAGGGATATTATAACGTAAATTTCAATGAACAATTTGATTAAACGTCAAATTAACCTGCCGGTAGATCAACTTTGTCTTGTCCTGCGCCAATAGATTTACCTAATCATGGTCATCCAGCGGCTAACAGTAATTGTAAAATAATTCTAACTAAAATAATACAATGAAAAAAACCTAATATACATTTAAATATTAATAATAGGGTAGGGTAATAAAGAAATCTAACTAAATCAATAATGATCAACCAGTCACTGCACCTCGTATCAAAAGTAAATAAATCATTTATGGAAGGAATAAATTTTAGCGATAATGAAAATTTGTACGTTGATTTAAATGTTTTATAGTTTATTTTTATTTTTAGTTAACAATATACCGATATCTTTCTTTTGACGAAGAATAAAAAATAATTTTTTTTATATATAATTAACTGGTAAATTTGCACTACTAACTTCGTAATATATATTAACCGCAAACTAATAGGAAAGTTTTGAAGTAACGTAATATATAGAGGCAACGGTTATTTTTCAGGTGTTCAATTATAGCATTTACATACATTTACTTCTATTACAACTGATAACTGATATTTTTTTTTCTTTATCTCGCTCACTTTTCTATATGCTTTTATTACAGTCTAATAAACTTAAAAACTTATCGTAAAATGATCACGTGAATTGGAAGCATCACGCTACAATAAATAGATGTGGATGAGAACTTATGAGAACCCTCGCCACCACATCTAACTTTCGCAAAAATTCGTTGTAAAATAAAACACTTTTTTAATTGTTTTGAATGAAACTTATATTAGACCGGCTCCGCTCAATGATATTAAGTCAAAAAATATCCATGGAAGTTAGGTAACACTGAACTTCCATAAACGTTCTCTTTTGAAGCAATAAGAATCGATTTAATTTCTTGAAGTGGAATTTTTTTGTTGCATTTCTTTCCACTCATGCCATTCCACAGGTCCCTATAAATTAACATTGAAAACTTATATTAGTTCTAGCTCATTCACTTCAGACCATAATAGTGAATACCAAAATGGTATTGTAAACAGTGACCATTTTGACAAGTGGTTGTACACCATAACCCAACTACCTTAGGGATAAGCATACGTTTCGGGAGTGACTATATATATTATGGTATCCTTCACCACCATCTATATTCTTTATTATGACCATCAGATCCTTTGCAAGAGTGGCTCCAGAGCACTTGTCAGACCAACTACTATATCTTCAAGACGGTGAATTTGAACCTGATGACTTATATTCAGGTACCTTAGCCAAGGCTCCACTTTCAAAGATATAACCTTGGGGTGGGTTCTCGTACGATGGGCCCCAGTCATCTATTTGCAACCCTTTAAAGCCGTTCGGTCAGCCCTCATAAACCTTCGCACGTTGCTTTCGCGGTGTGCAGTCAAGGATTATGGCCAGTGGGTGATAGAAAACTCTTTACCCACCTCTTTTAAAAATTCCAGTAAACATATTCTGATTATCTTTTGACTTTTAAGATCCGTTTTCCACTCAAAAAGATTCTAGTATGGAAACATTTTCTCTCAGTTAGGTCGGAGGCAACGTTATTATCCATAAAGCCTTTTGTTGTTCGTTCGTATGAACCGTCCCGTCATCTTTTTTGTTAAGAGAGTTTAGAACTCGGAAACAATTTTTTTGTTAGGTTAGGAGAGTTTTTTTATTAGTGGTTTTTTTGTTAGGAAAGTGTCCCCTTTTTATATTATTTTCTTATCATGTGATATAAGTCTTATTTATAGTCCATTGTGGATGACTAATAGTTGGTTTGATATATGAGTCATCTTTACTAACACTGATTTAGAGAATTAGTAATTTTAAATGGCATATGACTCTGATTTAGCGTGAAACCATTGCGTCACGTAGTAAAAATAGTTCAAACAATGGTAAATTTCCCATATCGGTTAGGGTATCCGATCAAAATCTCGACAGTCACTTGCACTAATAACACAAGATCGATAACAAAATCTCGACAAATTTTGTGATATGTGTTCTAATAAAATAATTTGTTGCAATATGTAATATTTAGTTTAAATGTGTTATAATTTTGTCGGGATTTGACTTTTCTCGCTCAAATGATTTTCGAGATTTCGTACCAAACCCATCGGTTAGTCTACAATCATTTTTGCCTTAAATACAGCGGAGAGTCAAACCTTAGAAATACAAATATGCATGATCGCATGATCAATATAATCCGTCGAAATAATGATTTTTTTTTAGTATAGATTTTCCTTTTTTTTTATTGTAGGGACTTTCAAGAAGTGCAAATAATGTAAATTTATAAGTAACTATCCTTTTTTCTTTATCTAATCAAACCATCGTAATAAAAGTCCCGTTATGACAAGTTATATACCCACGTCAATTTATAATTAGTTAAAATATTGTATGAAAATTTTTCAATGTCACAGTCATACGATACTACATTACATACAATGAATTATCAATGATCATCCGGAAACTCATTGACGACGTGTACTACATTAATGTCATAATAAGTGATTCTCTTTGTTATATTTTAATTTCTTGTTATATTTTTTTAAAAAAATGAGGTTGTCAAACATTACAAGTTGTACAAGTTGATCATACAATGAATTTGATCAATGATCATTCGGCAATTCGGCAATACGGGAATTATAATAGTAAGTGATTTTCATTACGTGATTCTGATGCAAACTTGCAAATTTATTAAAAAAATTTCAAAAAATTTCAAATATGGTAAAAGATTTTCTTTCAAAAAAAATTTAGTCGTGATAAGATTAGAAATATACATGCATGCAATAAAAGTATATATAACATGATGAAACAACTATGGATGGTTTTATTTATTTTTTCAAAATTTTAAAATTTTGTCAAAAGGTAACTTTTTGCTAAACAGAACCTTAAACATGTTTCGTACATAGAACTTCTCCTATAATAATATTCTTATAATACAATCTTATAATAAAACGATTAGTTCTAGTATCTCTCTCCAAATGATCCAAATTTAAATATGTTTAATATATTTCCAATCCTTCTAGAATATTAATTATCAATTGATGAAGAAGAGATATTCAATCTAATAATGGTACGGCGTCCTACGCAACGATCATTTTAAGTTTCTGCTGTACTATAATCCCTCACTTTGTGTTACTCATTATAAAGTGAAAAATATTTATTTAATATTAGTAGAAGATGTAATTTTCCTAGTGCTAACCTGTCTGACCGAGCGTCTACAATGTTGGTAGAGGAACATAATAATGTGATAAATTTATTGGGTCGATACTAAGGGTGCAAACTTCGATAATTTTCAAAGTTTAATATATTCGTCCAAAGTCGGAAAGTACCTCCTACATCGTGTACTAGGTCTGGACAGGTCTGAGTTTACATGTATCACAAACAACAACATAATTCTGTGAACATATGACTCAAAAATAAAGAATACTAAAAGTGAATTCGATGTGTCATGTGAAATGATCTACATAGAATACTGACGAAAAAAGTTCGTAATATTGTATATCGATTGATTATTGGATAAGAGAAATATAGTAAGATTATATTAAAATGAACATTTTCGTGTAACCATAGACTATTATAATCATTATAGGGCTGTAAAACATAAGCACAAGCACATGTTATCATATTAAATTGTCATTTTACCCATTTTACCGAGTTCTATAGTGATCAAGTGATATTTCGCGTGTATATTTTATCCTTTAATAACCACGTTTTTATTGCTAGACGGGCATATGTTATCATGATGATTATTTCATTTTTTTTCCAATTCCCCTTTCATTTAATTCATTCAATTAAATTAAATTACTATATAAAGTTAATTTTAAAATTTCTAAAATGAATAAGGTAGGAAGTTTAAAATTAATTACAATGTTTGAGCAATTATTCTTATTGTTTGAAAATCTTAATTTTTCACTATTATTTTAATTTAATAAAAATATATTAAAAAATAATTTAATTTTTAGCAATCAATGTCGATATCGATATCAATCATATCAATACCCCAATCAATAACCTGAAATCTCCTCAAAAATGATAAACCGATATAGATTTGTTATCGATTTTGATCTTTAAACTTCATTAAACTCTTAATTTCTTTTATTCATACGGATAGCCGATAACGGATATAATCTTATTTTGGAAAAGTATTTTAAATCAAGTCTCTTAATCAGATTGGTTGACCCCTAACATTTTACTGCGGTAATTAGAGTTTTATATAAAGGATTGTAATTCAAAAAAGTAAAACAATAATTATTAAAATTGTTAATAAGAATAAAATTAACGTTCTTTTACGTACATTCCTTCTTCCTTTTTTTTCCCTCCTAATCATATATTATAATCATTAAAACAAGATGAAGACGTTAAACTTATTAACTGAAAAGAAGTATACTTTTGGTCCTTTTAATTCACAAAAATATAAACCAAAAACAAATAAAGAAAAGTTACGCACAGAAAAACGTGAATTTTTAAAGGAATTTTCGACGAAATATGGGTATAATGGTAAAATAGATCAAATACGTGAAGAAGAATATCCACAATTAAGAAACGCAATTTATCTTGATCATACAGGCACTACAACATTCACTAAAAGTGCGTTAACAAATTTTAATAATGATCTATTAAGTAATCTTTACGGAAATCCTCATTCAAATTCTGCTAGTTCTCAGGCGAGTTCTATGCGAGTAGAAGGTGTACGTAGACGAATCCTTAAATATTTTAATGCTGATGAAAATGATTATAGTGTTATCTTCACTCAAAATGCTACGGCTGCTATTAAACTAACCGGTGAGATGTTTCCTTGGACGGGAAAGAGTACCTATAAATATTTAAGAGAATCTCATAATAGTATTAATGGATTAAGAAGATTTCTTGAAACAATCAACCCGAAAAATATTCAAGGTGTAACTGAAAATGATGTAGAAGAAATGATAAATAATCCACCAGTTAATGATGAATCTGAAGATGATGAAATTACTTATAATCTTTTCGCTTATCCAGCTCAATGTAACTTCTCTGGAATGAGATTTCCTTTAGATTGGATTAGTAAAATCAAGAAATTGGATACAAAAAAGTCAAAAAATTTAGTTTTATTAGATGCGGCTGCTTACGTTCCATCTGCACAACTTTCTTTAGCTGATAAAGAAACTTCACCAGATTTTATTTGCCTTAGTTTTTATAAAATGTTCGGATTTCCTACTGGATTAGGAGCCTTAATAATAAAATCAGAATTAAATCCTATATTAAGAAAAGGATATTTTGGTGGTGGTACTACTAATTCAGTTGTTTATGATAAAACATGGCAAGTATTCTCTGAAGATATTGCAACACGATACGAAGACGGGACCATTAATTTCTTAAATATTATAGCATTAGATCATGCATTTGATGCGTTTGAAAGGATTTATGGAAACATTAAAAATGTATCAAATCATGTGACTAGCTTAAATACATACCTCAGTAGAAATATGAGATCATTACATCATTGGAATGGAAAAAGTGTTTGTACGATAAATTCGGATAGGGATTTTTCAGATAGTGAAAAGCAAGGTGGTATATTAAGTTTTAACGTAAAACGTTCAGATGGTAGTTTTGTAGGATATGTTGAATTGGAAAAATTAGCAAATACTTATGGTATTCATATTAGATCTGGTGGTAATTGTAATCCTGGTAGTATTTCAAGATGGAATAATATTACTGCTGAGGAAGTTATACAGGATAGTGAAGAGAGAAAATGTAGTGATGATAAAGATATATACAAAGGGAAATTATATGGTGCAGCCCGTGTATCAATAGGTGCAATGACCACTATTGAGGATGTTTTAATCTGGCTAGATTTTTTCAAAAGACATTATGTTGAAATCAGGCCTGGAAAAACGGTTCATAATTTAAATTCTACTAAAATAACAAAAGAAACAAATCCTTCTAAATTCTTGAAGTATATGAATATTAGTAAATCACGCGAAAATTTGAGAACTTTCAAAGTATTTAAAGTTCAGAGATATGATAATACTAGTGGTAATGCTGTTTGAGATCATTGTACTTTCATTTTTTTTTAATATAATATTCTATTAATTATATCATTTAATATACTAATGTAATGTTTAATCCTAATAATCTGAGGCGGGACCCTTTTATTTTCAATTGTATCATTTTGCATACACTTAATCTCAATAAACTGAGGCAATACCTTTTAATTTGAAAAAAAAAGAAATTTTTTTGAGTAAAATAAAATGTGAAATAATTGATAATATAATTATTAATCAGAATACTGCATATATACGGTAGCGATTTAGTATCATTAAATGGGACCTCAGCAGGATTTTCGCCGAAGTCCTTTTCACAACCCATTTCGCCGCCGAAGGAATATTTCACTGAAGTGCCATTTCCTCGAGCGGACATTTCGCTATGGAATTTTTTAATTTTCATTTTTTTTTTCTTAGAGAAGATAAACGAATTATTTAATACATTAAATTAAGTCACGTTTGTTTAAAAAATGATAACAAAATGCATCATAAAATGAAATAGCTTAAAGAGAATTTGTACTTTGAGAACATTTTTATTTCCTTTGTATCGAATTGTTAATGATCAAGGAATATGTTAATCACTAACGAAATGTCCCTTCGGTGAAACTTCCCTTCGGTGAAATTGCTTCTGCAAAATGAACTTCGGCGAAACGTACCGTAACTCTCTAGGTGACTGAGATAGACAAAGCGCTTTTTATAGATAGTTGGCTCGGATAAAAAATTGTGTTACGTTCCGGAGTGAAATAAAAATTTATTTCTGGAAAAAGGGCTAAGCGTTAAATATAGGTTTTTATGTCGCACAGGCGTTGCATCGTACACGTGACTTTTAACGAAGGAATACTGTACATGCATTATTATGGGACCCGTTCACATTACCGACAATCATACTACCGACAATCATTTTACCGACACTCATATTCATATTACCGACAATCATATTACCGACAGGTACACTTTACCGACACTCATTTACCGACACCCAATTTTACCATCAACACTTACAGTATTTATTACTATTTCACTACCCACTTCAGTTATGAAAATTAAAATACATATTTAATATAAAAGAATTTACCATAATATGTAAAATAAAAAATTGATTACAGCAAATTTCAAAATATACGGGACACTTGAGAAATTTGATTGTCGGGTTGTCGGGTAGCCGGGTTACTCGGCAGTAGGTTATTTATTAGAAAAGTATAAATAAACCCGTGACATGAGTATAATAATAGTATATCAGATTATATAATCGTATTATATAAATAAATATAGTATAATAGTATATAACATGTAACAATTAATTACTTTACCTACTGCTGAGTAAACCGGCTACCCGACAACCCGACAATCAAATTCTCAAGTGTCCCATATATTTTGAATTTTGCTGTAAAAATAATTATTATTTTGTCGGTAAAATGATTGTCGGTAATATGATTGTCGGTAAAACGTACCTGTCGGTAAAGTGAGTGTCGGTAAAATGATTGTCGGTAATATAATTGTCGGTAATGTGAACCAGACCCTAGTTTAATTACATAATGTTTTACATCCATGTAGTATTATATAATACAGAAAATTATGCTCTGTTCAGTAAAATTATCGAAAATATCGCTACTGTTGGCCGTAGGTGCTTAGCATATTTCATAAATTTTATTTTTGTATTAGTTGCTTTGGCAACTTTTTATATTTCGCAAATAATAATGGGGTCTAGGCTAATCAGCATTGATAATAATTGGGAGAATCATTCTATCAGCCACAAGAATAGTGTTATTAAATAAGTAGTGCTACACTACGCCAAGAAAGAACCACCTAAGGATAAATGTAAAAGTCTTTATTCATTTTTCTTCTAGATTTATCTGTTTTAACTTATAACAAGTAATTTCGTAGTTAGGCTTTAGCGATTATGTAACATCAAATTTATTTGAAAATTTATAAATATATTTAATTTAATAGGATAATATTTCGTATAGCGCAAAAAATTCAAAAGGGACAATTTATATGAAAGATTTAAAGGGAGTAATAATAGTGTTAATTTTTTTAGTTTAATTAAGACAATAATACAGTGAATATAGTAATCAATGAAAAGTTCATATCATCTATAATGAAATTTTTTGAAAAAACAAGCTCTAGAAAAGAAATTGATTACAAAAATTATATGTTATTAAAATTTTTAAAGCAATTGATAGAAGAAAAAAGTTACAGGTTTTTTTCTTAACGTCATTTAAATATAAGGACGAAGATTATAATATTAAAATGGAAGCTATGAAGAAAGAGTTATATGAAGAATATCTTAATTTAGAAGTTATAGGGATAATATGGAATAATATACTAGTAGATGAATTTGATTTGAAATGGAATGATATCAACAATGGACAGTGGGCAAAAATCTAACATATATCACTAATAAGGTGGACTAGATCAATTAACAAATTTATTTGTTACGAGTACTATCTGTTACAATATGGAGTGGGCGCTTACATTCAAATTAATTAAGAATGGAATTTCAACTGATAAATTTACAACTAACGAGTTAGATACAAAAATACGAGCTTTTAGAATGAAAAACTTCCTTTAAACATTACCGATTTATGATATTTTATACAAAGTAAAGTATTTGGGATTAAATCTAACAAATGTGCGAGGTGTCGTTTATAATTACAGAGTGGTAGATATGGAATGAAGTTTTAGAAGTTTTAGATAGGCAGATAAATTGAAAGAGATTGTATGATACCATCTAAAATTATACACGGATATTCAATTATTAGAGAATTCTCAGATTCGGAAGTAAGAAAAGAAAGAACAAATATTATTCAAGTACAGCAGTATGTAATGAATTCTTGAAATACGATCTAAAGTTGCCGAGGTGTAGTGTCAAGGGATATTATGTAGGAAAAGTTACGTGACGATCAATTAGATGATGGATTGGAAGGTACAGTAAGTGATAGTAATGTGAGTAGACATAAAATAATTTAGAAAATGATCAAAAAATGAAATCATAAAAAAAGAATTTAAAATAGATAATGAAGTAGATTCTAGGAAAAGGTTCATTATATAGTAGGTAATTTGGTATCTGGGATGTCTTCATGAATGATTCGGGGAAAAGGATTCAGCAGAATGGCCTCTCGGAGAAATGGTTTCGGAGAAATAAACTTCAGCGAAATGTCCCTTCAGCGAGACTTTACTTCGGCGAAATGAACTTCGGCGAAACGTATCGTAACTCTCTGGGTGATCAATCGAGATTATTGAACATTTTGGATTGGGATGATCGATTTTCTTATTTTTTTTTATTACAGTAATACTAAAAAGAAATTGTTTACTTCTCTAAAGTAGTACTAAAAAGTGAAAAATTTCAGTTATGGTAAAATTTTTAAGAATTCAATAAACGATTTATTTTAAGATATCTGTTTGCCTGCTAATCACTTATACACTCCCGGCCAAAAAGTTTAGGACCACCCCTATGATCTGCAAATGATCTGCAATAAATAAACAATAACATATTTGTGTAACCTAAAATTTGTACCCTATGATAATCAATAAATAGTGAACGTCATGCATATCTTTTTTTTCGTTCTTTTATTTTTATTTTTTGCAAAATGGTCAAAACAAGAGAACTTTCGGATTTCGAACGCGGAAGAGTTATCGGTTTTTATGAAGCTGGTGACTCAGAACGAACAATTTCAGAAAAAACTGGTTATGGTAAAACCACAATTCATAATATTATATCAAAATATAAAAAAACAGGTGCTTTTAGTATTGCTTCTCGAAGTGGACGTCCAAAAAAATTAACTGAACGGGATAAACGTCATCTTAAAGTTATTGTTACTCAAAACCGACGTGAACCAGTAGAGAAAATAGTAAAAAATTTTGCCGAATCCACTGGAAAAGTAATATGTAAGAATACTATGAAAAATACATTATATAATATGGGATATCATAGTTGTACTGCTCTCAGAAAACCCAATGTCAGTGAGCGTAACCGAAAAATTCGTTTAAAGTGGGCTCGTGAAAGACGTTTATGGACTATAAATGATTGGAAAAAGGTAGTATGGAGCGATGAATCCAGGTTTACATTATTTCAAAATGATGGAAAAATACGAGTTTGGCGTCTTCAAGAAGAAAAATATAATATTAACTGCCTTGTTCCTACCATGAAGCATGGCGGAGGAGGTATTATGATGTGGGGGTGCTTCTCCTGGTATGGTTTAGGTCCATTGGTAAGAATAGATGGCCGTATTAATAGTGAAAGATATATTGAAGACATCCTTGGCTATCACGTGGTACCGTTTTTAGAGGAATTTGAAGAGGAAAATGGTGAATATTTTTTTCAACAAGATAACGCACCAATTCATACAAGTGCAAGAACGCGGAATTTTATTGAAGAAACGGAAATAATTTTGTTACCATGGCCAGGGCAAAGCCCTGACCTTAACCCCATCGAACACCTTTGGGACGAGCTTGAACGTCGTATTCGAGCCAAGCAAAAACATCCAAAAAATTTAGGGGAATTGGAGGCGCTTCTTCAAGAGTGCTGGTCAGAAATTCCATGTGAAGTTTATCAGAAGCTTGTTGAGAGCATGGTACGTCGAATTGAAGAGGTAATAAAAGCTCGTGGTTATCCCACAAGATATTAATTGACGTTTTTATTAAATTTTTATAAGGGTAAGTATTATAAATTAATGAGTTAATTTAATTTTTTTTAAAGAAAAATACCGATTTTTTATTAAAAACTTTAATATTATTAAAAGTATTTAATATTGCGAGATTTTGAGCTGGGTTTTTTACATTATATTATGTTTAATATGATGTTTAATAAATATAATTTACATATAATATATTATTATAAAAAAATTTTTTTTTATTTATTAATAGTTTTAGTTTATTTTATTAAAAAAAGGGGTATAAAAATGTTACATATTAAATTTCAATAATTTATTATTATAATGAATTTAAATATTATTAAATTTGTTAATTAATTAGTAGAGAAAACGTATATGATCTTTATAGTTTAATAAAAAAAGTTATCGTTAAAAAATTCCATTTTTTCTATTATTTACCGGGTGGTCCTAAACTTTTTGGCCGGGAGTGTAATTACGTTTCCACCGTAATAAGTTAAAATATGTAAATTTACCAAAGGATTAGTCCATTCTTATGTAATGGGGAATTTTCTTTTTAGAAATTATATTATCCCGCTATGTTCCCAGACAACAAAGGTTTATAAGAATAATCGGTATCTTCACATTATGATTGTATTAAAATTATTAACGTATATCTCGTAAAAAGTATAATTTGATATTGATTTTTTGTGTTCTAAGTATGTTTTATTAAAATAGACTAGACATAATTTATATATTCTCGAGAGAATTTTTGTGATTAATGAATATAATGACTAAGGAAATCTAACAAATTTTAAAATTAAAAAACATTAATCTGATTAAAAATAATTTTTACATACTTCTCGTTAGGTCTATATTTATTAAAATATTTTATTTGCATTAACCTTATTTTAAATATAATGAATATGATAGTCATCGTCTTCCGACATCACGTTCATCATGATTATGATTATCTGCGTCACGTTTATATAAATCTTGTGATTCTGCTATTGGTTCCGCGTCACGTTTAAATACATCTTGTGGTTCTGCATTTGTGTAAGAATTCATTTTAGTAATTTGATATAAAAAAAAATTTTTTAAAAATTTATTTACTTGCTAAAGCAATAGTAAAGACGAAAATCAACAGTAAGTATTTTAATTGCATGATACAGATAATTTCTTTGAAGAAATTTCCACTTTCTTAAAGTGTTTATATAAGAAAATTTTTCTATAGTAACAAGTATTTCATGATTACATTTTTCATATTTATTATCAATTAAAGTGAAGTAAAGGAGACGTACAAGATTATTTTTCTACATTACGCCATGCTAAAATTTACAATTGAAGAGCAGAGCCACTTTAAGATTTGATGTCAATATTTATTTTGAACCGTAATCATTTGTAAAATTGTAAATAAAGAGTAATTTGCCACGTTTTTATACACTGCGCCATGTTACTTGAAACATGTTCAAAAGCTTTAATGACATTAACATTTTATGTTTATATTATTAGAATTGACAAATAATTCATTATGTTAAGTACTATATATAATTTGTAACATAATTTTAGAGCGTATTTTGTTCAATTAACTAATTTATTGGTCAAATTTATAATGATTCCAAAAAAAGGACAAACCTTTTTTTTTTTAATGGTGGTTAAAATACTCTACATATTTCTTATTAAATTTATATTTAATGAAAAACTTTATCTACATGTTAAATGTTGCACTATTGCTTATTTTAAATGTAATAAAATATCACTCAATACCTTTCAGGCATCACAATTACCATAATTTTGTGGTTCCTTACAATCTTCCAATAAGTGAACATCACTGCCTGTACTAGTCGGTTAATAAGCCGTTAATTAAACGAGTCCCAGAAAGAGTAATATATATTAGACAAATATATTATTCGGATATACAATAATCATGTTATTTTAAATAGTTTTATTGACTAGTTCAATCGTAACTTATAATTAAAAAATTTATCGTTATGGGTAAATTAATTAGATATCTCAAATTAATTTTCTCATCTTCAGTAGTCCTTCATTTCGGAAAATGATTTTTTCGATTTTATAGATGTAGTGACTAAATTATTAGAATATTTTAGAGGCCGCAGTTTTATATTTATTTTTAGTACTTCAGTTAGTTTTATTTTCTTATAGTTTATTTTTAACGGATTATTAGTTATGGTTCTAGGTATGTCCACATGACCATAATCTGGAAGATAGGATTGGTTGATCAGCTAAAATAGTAATAAATATAGCGCGAGTTGGAACTCGGGATAATTTTATCAATTTGTATTTAAACTTTTTTATTACTAATAAATATATGTTAGCCCATTAATTACACCTCTGACTAGGTCTGGTGGTAAAGAAAATATGTTTACTAATTTCTTGCAGGTAATACTGCGGGACCTATCTGGCAGTGTCAATTTCCTTTATCGTAGTCTATTGTCGGAACTGTTATCAATTGTATTAACAAGTTGTTCTACGAGATAAAATTGTAACGTATCAATTCTGGAATATATCCGGATAACGCCAATCTGATCATTTTCACGGATGCTTTAACGGTCACTTAACATATAAAACTTAATAGTAATTTTATGATAATTTTATCTTAATATATTCATTTTATTTTATTTAGTAACTAGCAGTTGTTTCGCACCATTATGGTCGAATTTAGCTAATCAAACAAATTAAAAATGGGAGAATTCTTAGCTATTAGTAATTAATACACTACATATCATGACGCTTCAGGATTTAATCGGAAAAAAGACCTACGAAAAAAAAGGAAATAAAATTATTTAGACTTTTTTTTTTTGTATATTAAAAACATTACTATCCAACGATTTTTGGCCAAAACCTATAAATTTAAAAAAAAAATCAAGAAGTAAGCTTTGCAATTACTTTTTCTTAATTTCGATAGTCTAGAAAATGTCCGAATATACAAAATAAAGAATAGAAAATGTTAATAAGTGTTTCTTTAAAGAATTTCGAAAAAAGCTGATTCAAAGTTAAAATAATTTTGGAATTTACTTTACGTTCACTCTCAGGAGAAACCATAAACTATTTCCTTTAGTAAAAAAAAAAAATGTTCCAAAAGTAGTAATTATTATTTTAGCATATTGGACATTGGTGGTCGAGAGACTCACCAAAATTATTACAAAAATGAAATAGAGAAAATGTAATGAATACTTTTTTTTTTAAAAAAAAAAAGATAAAATTTCAAGTTAACACTTCAAAACTCACTTTTTTTTTACGTATCACATAAGCAATAATATTTTTAAATAAAAAAAATTAAAAGTATAATTAATACTTTAAAACTTTATAATCCACTGTCCAAAAAAAGCTGATTAAAGCCAAATGCTTATGAAAAAGAGAAGGAGTTTCCTTAAAAATATAAAAAATGTTGTCCGAGTAGTCCAAAAAAAGCAAAACATATTAAAATGGAAAGTATAATGCTTTCTTTGACAAAAAATAATGGAAATGGCATATACAGTACTTTACTATTTGAAATGCTCTTAAAGTCGAAATATATAAATGGTTAAAAATTCGATTCGGATATTTATCTTAGTTTATGGATATAAATAAAATAAAAATGAAATAATTATACGTTCTACGACCGACTGGAATTAATGAAACATAATTCAGCAGCATATTATATCACGATTCGAATTCTATTTTCTAAATTGGTATTCCTAGAAATTACGGTTAAGTTTGGCAGAAACCAACTTGCTGATGGATACAAAGTCAGTTTCTAAAAGAAGGTGGTCGTAAACTCAAACCTGACCAACCTGACCTTGGAGATTAACTTTCGTATTATTTGGATCTTTCAATATTTCGAATTACAACCAATTTAAGTATATTTTAAAATAATTGCTAAAAAAAGTTACAGTTTAATCAAATTATGTGAATAATATCAATTAGAACTTTTTTCAGCATTTTGACTTTGGCATTTCAGCATTTCGGAAATTTTACAACGGTGAATAATGGCCAGGAAATGACGTGATCTCGGAAAATCAATTTTAATTTCGGAATTTTGACCAAAATTATTAAAAAATTTAATTAACCGTTAATTAATCAAATTATAATTGACCATTAATTTTCCATCCCTAATTGTACAGTACTTATATTATTACCCAGTCTCAAAATTATGCACATCCTTCAGACTTTTTGCTCGTAAAAAGGAGGTGCTTAATTTCAAGATTGTAATCAAATGGACTTTATACATACACCATTAAAAATCATCCAAGTATAAATTAATTTATTAAACATAAGAATTTTATTTGAAATAATGTAGAAATGCTAAAATTTTTTAATATTCATTTTTCTGCAACCGAATATCCAACAATCTAAATTTAATTTATAAAATGATAATTATGAATAACGAATTTTTTTTTTTTTTGTAGTTCGACCTAAATTATTTACTACTACTATTATTATTTTACAAATCTTCATGCCTTGGTGGTTCCTCGTGTGGAGGTGGAACGTGACTATCAGCATACAATTTAGTAGTTATCGGATTAATGATAGATTGTAATTCTTCCCGTTTTTCATCAAAATCATCCTTGATCGCAGAATTTGAATGATCATTCAACCAATCGTCATTGCTTATTTTCTTATCAAGTTCAAGTTTTCCGTCATCAGAAGTTTGATTTTTGATTGTGTATGCAAAACTTTCAAGTTGATTTTTAGCTTCTATTCGTTCCTTTTGAATATTATCCTCTTCAGCATATTGTTCGGCTTCTTCAACCATACGATCAATTTCTTCTTGAGAAAGACGACCTTTATAGTTTGTAATTGTAATCGATTCAATTTTCCTGTACCTATATCTTTTGCATATACTTTTATTATACTATCGGGATCAATTTCAAACGTAACCTCGATTTGCGGTATACAGTCGCGTCCGAAAGTGTTGCCCGATTACTTACAGATGAAGGCCATAATTATTAAGTCACTATGATCATCTCGGCATCCAGTGATCAGAATTCGACAAACAAAGGCTCATTGGATTCATCTCGTCAAGACGAAGTGAATGGTGGTTGGCCTATATCTCTAGGATCAATAGATGCCAAGATATAACTTAAAACATTCTTTACCTGAAAATTTTTCGAAACTCTAAATTTCACGAAATTGGGAATATCTCACTATCCAGTGATTCTATTCTGACAAACAAAGACTCATTGGATTTGTCTCATTGATACACGTCGAATGGTGGCCAGTTCATACATGTAGCATCATTATATCTCAGGATAAAGGCCAAACCATCAAAAAAATGTTTTAAGGTACACCTTAGTATCTATTAACCCTAGAGATATGAGACATTCACCATTCAACTCATCTTGACGAGACGAATCCAATGAGCCTTTGTTCATCGAATTCTGATCACTGGATGCCAAGATAATCACAGGTTTCCAGATGATTATATCCTTTATCTTTAGGCCAAAAATAAGCTAAAATTAAATAAAATTGCAACTACTAATTTTCCAACAAATTTATTTGGTTTAAACCAAGTAGAGAACATTTAAAAATGAACCAATATATTATCCAGAAGTGTGTCCCTCTCCCAAGAGCTGTAGGCGAATTTAAAGCTATATTAAAGAAAAAATAAAAATTTAAATAGTTCTGTTTTTGAGAAGGTTGCCACCCTGGCATTATGAAAATTTGATTTAGTATGAGAAACAAACTAGGTATGAATATTTTACTAATGTATACACTAGTGAAAAAATACAGATATTTTTGCTTTTGTCTTCATTTTCAAATCGGGCGTCACTTTCGGACGCGACTGTACCTCGTGGTGCAGGCAGTATACCTGTTAATTCGAAGTTTTCGAACTTGCCGAGTAAGTTGTTGTCTTTAGTCATAAAACGTTCTTCTTCGTAAACTTGAATTAATACAGTAGGTTGGTTATCCGCGGCGGTAGAGAAAATTTGTGACTTCTTAGTAGGAATTACAGTGTCACGAGGAATTAATTTTGTCATAACGCCACCAGTTGTTTCAATACCGAGTGTAAGAAGACAAATGTCTAATAAATTGAATATCATTGGTATATCCGTATATCTCCGGAAAGAATACCTCCTTGTATGGCGGCACCATATGCAACTGCTTCATCAGGATTAATATCTTTGAAAGTTTTCTTACCACTAAAGAATTCTTCAAGGAGTTGTTGAACTTTGGGAATACGTGTGAAACCACCAACGAGTACAATATCGTGCACATCCTTCTTATCAACATTTGCATCTTTCAACACTTGTTCAACGAACTTTAATGTTTTAAGGAAGAGATCATTGTTAAGTTCTTCAAATTTGGCACGGGTCAAAATTTCGGAAAAATATTTACCATCATGAAATGATTCAATTTCGATATGAGTTGACATTTGAGAAGATAATGTACGCTTGGCTTTTTCAACTTCACGTTTTAATTTATCCATAGCTTTTAAATCTTGTGAAACGTCTACCTTATTTTTCTTTTTATAAAGTTTAACGAAGTAGTCAATAACTCGGTTGTCGAAGTCTTCACCTCCCAAATGTGTATCGCCGGCAGTTGCCAATACTTCAAAAACACCATCATCGATTGACAAGAGAGAAACATCAAAGGTACCACCACCAAGATCATAGACAAGAATCTGACGTTCCCCATCGGATTTATAAAGATCATATGCAATTGCAGCCTCCGTAGGTTCATTTACAATACGAAGGACATTAAGTCCAGCAATTACGCCAGCATATTTTGTGGCTTGTCTTTGAGCGTCATTAAAGTAAGCTGGGACTGTAACTACTGCATGTGTAACTTTCTTGCCTAAATACGATTTTGCAATTTCTTTCATTTTACCAAGAATCATAGCCGAAATTTCTTCAGGAGTAAATATTCTTTCTTCGCTTTTTACAGTGATTTGAATAACAGGTTTACCATCTTTGTCAATGACCTTGAATGGAAACTGCTTAATATCTTGTTGAACCTCTTTATCGCTAAAGCGACGACCAATTAGTCGCTTAAAACCAAAAATGGTGTTCTTAGAGTTATTTGAATATTGATTCTTTGCCGCATCGCCAATTAAACGTTCATCATCGGTGAAGGCAACATAAGAAGGCGTGATACGGTTACCCTGATCATTGGTCAATATCTCAACTCTTCCGTTCACGTATACTCCAACACAAGAATAAGTTGTTCCTAAATCTATACCGATAACTGACGATATAATATTAGAACTTATAAGTTTCAAAAGAACAATATTCAGCAATTAATTTTATACCTGTTCCAACGTCAGATTCATCAATTACAATAACTTTTGCAATAAGAATAGTTATTAACAGTGAACATAACAATGCAATAAATTTAAAGAAAGTAGCTTTCTTCATTTTTAAAATGTTCAAGAATTATCGATAATAGACAGCTACAATAGAAGTTTTTAACCGGATAATTACGTCAAAAGAAATAGATAAAAAGTAATAAAAATAACGTTGGCATTATTCTATTGGTTGGCAGATTTGTTATGATGTAATTTAAACTGATTTATGTAACTAATGATTGATTAAAAATCATTGATCAACCGATAAATCATTTTAATTTCCACTTGGTTAATTTTAATTGGTCATTATATGACAAATGACTTTTTTTTATTTCACAAAGTTAACGAGGTTACAGTACAAATTACAGACTTTAAAACTAAAACCGAAAGTAATTCGCAAACCACTACGAAGGCGATGTCACCTTTGGTGGTAAAAATGGAACGGGAAACGTGGGTTCTGAGAAGAGTAAATATATTCGAGATGATTCCCGAGATTATTTAATTGTTTTCTATCCAATATTTATATATAGCAAAATTTTTTTATTAAAGATTGACATTTATTAATTACAATTAGCTAAAGATTAATTAATAACTAATTAATATAAGGGCATCCGCTCTAGAAAAATACAGCTTAGTTGTATCTATACAATATGTTTTTGCGCTCATTAAAAAAACTAATCGTTTTTTTTTACAATGTATACTTTCAAAATAAAGTTTCCTTCGCGTCATCATGTAAAAAAATTAATCAAAAGCACGCGCAAACACAATCAAGAAATCCAAATCAGTGATGAAGGTTCTTTTATCTTTTTTTTTTTTCGGTTCTTTTTGTTCTTTTTGGTTTTTTCAATAATGCCAAGTTGACCATATGGTACATCTAGAAGAAATAAATATAATAAAAATTTAAGATATATATATAAAAAAAATATGAGCAAAAATTCGCACATACCACTCGTAACTTCAACAACAATTCCTTCGGATACTACAAAAATCCATGACGCTCCCGGGTCATTTACAAGCCCCTTTGCCTTTCTTTCCGCTATTTTATTATAATCACCACGTAACCATAACAAGCCGCTCATAGCATCCAAGTCAAACAAGCGGCCGAAGCAATCCATAAAAAGAATTCCATCGTAGCGCTCCCCAATGACAATGATATGTTCAAATCCGTAATACCCAACTTCTTCAATATAACCATCGAGTCCTTTCACATAGCCGATATCATCGTCTTGATCTTGAACTTCGAGCTTATATCTAATTGAGGTTGCTACGGAGTTACGGTTTGGTTTGGTAATTGTGTCAACTACCATGGGATGGCTTTTTCTACTAAGCCCATTCGTATCATTGTTGATATTACATGTTTGCACAGAGCACATGGAGGTTTTATTTTTAGATCCGGAGTCTTTAACGACACTGTGCGGGTAAACAACATGACATGGTGTTTTCGGGTTCTTATTAGTCCATGTAGAGCCCTCAAAGGTACCGACTCTGAGCAGTGGCCCCAAATTTGGGATAAGTTCTCGTATATTTCCCGAACATTCAAACTGCACCATTTGATCGCCGACATCGTCTCTACTCTTGATGTCGCTATTAATCTGTTGATCTCTTTCGTTTCTGTTTCGTATGGTCCACTGCGGATTGACGATCCGAACATGAACATTGCGGTCTTCCATTTTTTTACCGAAATCGTTAAATTCAGCGTTGATGGGCGGCTTATCAGGTTCGGTTCCATCATAATGACTTGTTGGGCCAGGACCTTCAACATAAAGCCAAGGAATCTTATCTTGCTTTTGAATACAATCCTCTCGAAGGAGGCCGTCTTTGTGATCTTCATGATGTAATGCGTCCAAAACAAACATATTACATCCCACACTGTTATCATTATAATCGGACGGCAGAATGGAGGATGTACCATAAGACCCGTGGTACCGAGCGACAATATGATCCCCTGAGTCCTAAATAAAATATGATGAATAAATAAATAAATTTACTTTTTCGAAATAATACAAAAGTACAAAAATTAAGAAACCTGGGTGTCACAAACTTTTCGACCAAGTCTCTCGTTCATTTTTCTCTTATGTTATTCGACCAGAAAAATGCGAGAGGACTTATTTCAGAAACGACAATTTATTCGTTAAGTTTATTTGTATAACTATTTACTCGTGAGTAACGATTTATGCTTACTTTGGAATGTTTCTTGGATTATTCATAAAAACCAAACAAGATTGTTCAATGAATTGTCTTTAACGATAAGTGGCATTAACGATTATGTTGGCGTAATAAAACTTGTCTACAGAATTACATCATGATAACCTCATAAAAAAAAATTTTGAATCATAATTACATCAGGATATCCTCATAAAAAAAATTTTGAATCATAATTACATCATGAATCCTCATAAAAAATTTTCAATCATGATTTATACCGGTTTAATATAATATATCATTAACCCCACTTTATGTGACTACAAAAATTTTGTTATACAGTTCAATATCTAAGCCACCGAAATATGTCTTAATGTTCCCTTAATAGGCAAAGTTACACGGGAAACTGCGTTCTGTCGACATTAATTGTCTGATTCTAGGAAAGCCATTCCCCTCTTTGAGGGGAGTGCGTAGAACCCAGAAATATAATCTCTATCAAAATTAAAAGAAAACGAAACAATTGGCGAAGTATTAATAAAGCTGAAAAGGATTTATTTCGAAACTGGTGGCTAGGGTTGGATTAGTCCGGTCCGCTCCGGTCCCAAAAAGACCGGTCTTTTCAGCCAGGACCAGACCGGACGTGTCTTTTGGCCGGTCCTTAAAATTTTTTAAATTATCTTATTAATAGCGGTATTGTTGGGTTGATCAACGAGATAATAATTGACATTAATTTATTATTTATTATCAGTTACCTTGTTATCATTGTAAACTAAGTATGACCCAAATATATAAAAAATACTGACTATCAAAAATATGAAAAAAAATTGCAACGGGAATAAAAATAAATTATCAAATTGATGCTGATCATGTAACACAAAATACTTGCATATCGTACTTTAGCATCAAAAATGATATTGATATTACAAAATACCAACATATGAAAATTTGATATTTCGAAATGAAAACTTTATTAATAATATATAATTTAACATTTTTATATTACAGCTGTTTTCATAAGACCTGGGATCCGCCGATCCGCCGATCCGGTATTTTTAGCTGGGCACGTGATCCTGATTTGATAGTTTGATTTGTTAAAATAAATAGCAACTGAACCGGATCGGTGGGTCGGCGGTCGGGTTCAAAAATTTATTTTGTCCCAGGTCTTATGAAAACAGCTGTAAATGATAGATTTCATATAATCGTCCCGGTCCGGACCGGTCCTCAAATCTCGGACTGAAGACCGTGAAGACCGGTCCCAAGACCGATACAAGACCGGTCTTTGCTGGGACCGATCCAACCCTACTGTTGGCTCAAGTGATTTAGATTATGGCGTACCAATCTCCATGTAGTTGTTAAAATAGAAGGTTAGTGTTAACTTTTTGTTTACGTTGAAAATACTGTATGTTTAATATTGTAAAAACATCTACAAAACTTTAAATAAACCATAACCAGCTCGGGCACGTGATATAAAGTGTGGCGTCTAAATTTGATTGGTTGATCTTGTGTAACATTTTGAAAAAAAAATAAATTAAATTTTTTTTTTATTATATTTTTATTGAACAATACAGAAAAATTTGAAATGAAAAATTTTTTTTCTTTGTTTTTACCTAACTAAAAATATACAAGTTTGTGCTATTTATACAAAAAACGCCAAAATATATAAAATTATTATATAGGTAAATACTTTAAGAAAATTATCATTTATCGCGTATGCGATTCATCGCTAGTATCCATTTGTCATGTGATATGTCACGTGATATGAAGTAGATTATCAAATCTCTTCCCACGCTTTCTTTTTATCCTTAAACTTTTTTTATACTTCCCACGAAACTTTTTTATCTTTCTCACGAAACTTTTTTTCCCTCCTTTAGCATTTTAACCGACACAAGTATTTATAAAGTTATTCCATTCATTTTTACTCTTTTTATCTAACTATTCCTTATAAAAACACTGATATTTTTACCCGTAACCTACTACCTTAATTACAACAACACCACTTCTAATATGAATGTAAATGAACGAGCTTATACTGACTCTACTGACAGTACTGGCGATACTGATGTATCATCAAACTTATTAGCAGCTGCAGGTATCTTTGCTATGAAATATGTTGTTTTGAATTCATGTTAGTATTAGAGTTAGGATTAGGGTTAGGTTAGGGTTAGGGTCTGGTTAGGATTAGGGTTAGGGTTAGGTATTGGTTAGGATTAGGGTTAGGGTTAGGGTCTGGTTAGGATTAGGGTTAGGGTTAGGGTCTGGTTAGAGGGTTAGGATCTGGTTAGGATTAGGGTTAGGGTTAGGATTAGTTAGGGTTAGTGTTTGGGTTAGAGAGGATTACAGTTTAGTGTTAAGATTTCGTCATATTTACTAACATTTTTATTATTTATTTTGCGATAATATAATACTGACGAATTTGTATCAAGTTTATGTTTATTTGATCAAAACAATAATGATTATTGTGAGGAAAGATTAACAGTTCTTGAACAAAGAATTGTTTATGGTAAATTACATGGTGTATATAAGAAAGCCTTAAATAAAGCTTTACAAACAACTTCTAAATCGGAACAGCTTATCAGTTTACTACAAGAATTTGCAGATGATAAAAATGATGATGATGAAACGGACTCTGAAGAATTTTATCAATATGATGACACAAGTGACAAGGAGAATTTCGATCCATCAATACCATTGTTACAGAATCCAAAGAAACTGCGTGGAAAAGGTAGACCATTGGGTACGAAAAGGTTTAAGTCATCATGTGAAATATCTAGTTCTAAAACAAAAACACAACGTCGATGTAAAAAATGTGGGAAAGTTGGGCATTATCAAAAGAATTGCAAAGAACAATGAATGGATGACTAATTCATTAATATTATTATAATGTATAATTAATGTACTATTTGCTGTAATAATGTGTATAATAATATATTGTTTTTTTTCGCTATGCTAATAAATAATAATTGTTCGAACATGTAAATATATCAATCACGTGAAATTGTTTATCATGTAATATTTTGGGTGTGGCGATATTTCGCTATGGCGATAAAAAACAAAATCCATACTTTAATACTTATTAAAACAAACTTTAAAAAGTTCAAAGAAACGTAAAATATTAATATTTAAAGACAGTATTTATATAATATAGGTTTCCAAGGTTTCCAAAAACTAAAATGTATAAAGAAATAGGTGGACGCGAGAAAAAAATATTTATTTATATTGCATCAAACACAGCCACATCACGAATCATGTGCCTGAGCTTTTTTTGTTGGTTACACTCAAACAATGGTGATGATATTTTATAATATTTTTTAATAAAATTTTAGCTTATTATTTATTTTTATATTACATCATATGGTAACCGAATGTGGCACGGTCATATATTAAAGAAATGTGTTACGTCATTTATAATAACGTAATAAAGTGGATTTTGTCAATTATTTAAATAATAATGAATATTTTGCCATTTTGAGGTTCTTTTTGTTTTAATTGTTATAAATATTTGATTTATCGTTTCCTCGTCATCAGATAACAAATTTCAAAAAAAAGAAAAATCGACTAAAAGATTCAAAAAAATAAAAAAATAGTTTCTAAATAAACCTAGAACTGACCAAGAAACATCAAAACTAGTCGTCATTATAATCGATATATAAAATTTAAAATTACTACGTAACACCAGTGGTGTTCAGCACCAGTGTCACGTGTTTCTATTTGTTATTGCGTCACTCATCAGATTTATTAGTTTATTTTTTGTTTTTTTTACGCGATTTTATTTTTTTTGTAGTTGCTTCCTTTGCTTTCAGTAAGTTATACATATTTTTTAACGTTGTGTATGTCTTTTTTCCTTTATTAATATTAACTATTCTCTCTTCTTTTCGTTCCACTTTGTCACTTCTGCTTTCATTTCGTTCTTTCACCTCCATTTCATTCCACTTCATCACTTCTACCTCCATTTCGTTCCACTTCACCACTTCGTCACTATTTGTAAGTAGTTCTTTCCACATTTTAACGGCTTTAAAACTTTGGCACCAGTATCCTTATAAATAGTAAGTTCATTTTTGGTCTTTTGGGATTGGGACTTAATTTTCTTTAACTAACTATATATCTTTCTTTTTTTGGTTGGACTTTCACTTCTTTTTTGGGCTTTATTGTTTTTTTTCTTTCCTATTATGCCTATTGTTTCTTTCTTTACCATTTCATCTCCTATCATTCTTTTACCATCTCCATTTCGTTCCACATTATTTTTTCATCTCTATTTCATCCTATATCATTTTTTCATTACAATTTTGTTCTGTATCATCATTTCATTCCATTTCGTCTTTATCATTTTTTTCTATCCCCATTTCGTTCTATATCACGTTTTCATCATCATTTCAATCCATACCGTTCCTTTAATCACCTTTTTGTCTCCTATTTTTCTATCATCATTTCATTTTATATTGCTTTTCATCATCATTTCATCCCATATATACTGTTCTTTCATTGCTATTTCGTCTGAATCATCTCCTATTATTCTTTTCCATTACCATTTCGGTTTATATCACTTCATCATTATAATTTCGTCCTCATACCATTCCTTTCATCACCATTTCGTTCTATATCACTTTATAATTTTCTTTCATCACCATCATGTCCTATATCATTTTTTCTCTATCATCTCTTCATTCTATATTGCTTTTTCTTCATCATTTCATCCTATACTTTTCTTTTCATTGTTATTTCGTCTCCTATTGTTCTTTTTCCATTATCATTTCATCCTATTCTTATTACTATTTTTGTTCTTTCTTATTCCTTATACTCTTTTTGCCATTATTATTTATTTGACTGGGGTGTTCTTAAAAATTAAAGGTGTACGCAATTTTTTATTTTTTAGTCGGTCGTATAAAAAAATTACACAAATAAAATAATTAAGTTTCATTAATTAATTATAATCACATGATACTGGTGCTGACCACCAGTGGTGGTAAATAGCAAACTTCTATAAAATTTTATTTAAAAAATTTGATTTCGAATTTATCATTTACGCCATACTTTTTATGTGATCTACCATCCATCAAATACACCATATAAGCCAACTTAACAATTTCAATTCTGGGAATAAAATTGACTTAAAGGTATGAATACGAAAGGAAAAATACCAATTTGGTTTAAAGATATTGAAAAGAAGTATTAGAAGACCAAAGTGGAAGCGTAAGAAAGATAAAAAAAGAAAATATAGGACAAGTAGAAAAAAGTAAAATACACGTTAATTATTTTGATGAAAACGAAAGACAAGAGAAAAATAGTATAATTACTTGGAATGATGTTAATAACTTTCCAATTTTTAGCGTAAAAAAAGATCACAAAGTAAGAATCACAAAAGAATAAGAATACATTTAGTGATAGAAGGAGAGGAAATAGATATAAACAATTCACCTTTTTTGAAAAAATGCGAAGGATGTAGTAAAAATATTAGCAAGAAAAAAGGAACGAACGAATGTTTAATTTACTTAGAAGGTGAATTCAGTAGGAAAATTGAAAGACGAAAAGAAGAAAATTTAATTAAACCATATGAGACTTTAAATAATATTATTAAAAAAATACTTGGTTAAGAAATATACGCAAGAGGATAGAAGAGATATTATATATAATGAAAGGATAGAAATAATTGATAATCTGATAAAAACTGAAGAAGAATTCATTACTTTAATTAAAAATAGTATATTCGAAAATAGTGATAACACTTATGGAGAAAAGAGAAGATTTTATCTAGCAATAGATATAGTTAAGACTAAATCTATAGTTAACGACAAGGGGAAGAGAACATATAATTATAATATTATATGGATAATAAAAGATTTAGGAAGTGAGGAAGATCTCAATAAAGAGATAATGTTTTTAGCAAAATATGAATGTACTAACGAAAATGAATTCAAATTATATTAAGAAGTATCATAATCGGATTATTAATTTTCTGTAATATAAATAGTGAAATAATTTTAGGTGTAAATGAAAATATTAAAAAATTATTATTTGAATTCATTAACAATCTAAGTAACAGACGAAAGATAGACAACGAATTTTACCTAGAATTATTGTTTATAGATCAATTTTTGGAAAAGAATGGGATTCAAATAGTGGATAGCGATGAAAAAGAATATAAAATATTGACGAATTTAAAGAAAAAAGTGAGAGAAATGTTAAAAGATAAAGAATTAGTGAAGGCGATTAAATATGGGGTTGAGTTAATTGATGAAGCTCTGATTACAAATGAATATAACTTAATTTAGAACAACAGAATAATTGCAGGAGGATATAGAGGCTGGCGGAAAAAAATAACGAACGCGATATGGAAAAATGAAATCCTCAACAGTGAAAAGTTAAACGATTTATTCATGTACAATTTTAAACAAGAATTCGATTGGAAATCTACCTTAGAATTTGTTAGTAATAGGATCAATTTTTCACAAAGGCAATGTAACGATAAGGACACGAAAGAAAGATCTTATCGTATAAAGAACTTATTGAAAGAACAACCTACTTACAACGTCTTATATAAAAGAAATACTAACAAAATGGAAAATGATTGGTGTAAAAGATGTGGAAAAGAAGCAAAGGAAGATTGGGAACATACTGTATATGGTTGTGTGAAGATAACGAATTCACGATTAACAAAATTGTACAGAATCAATTTATCGTTTTGAAAAAACTTTGAAAGATCTTAATCAAAATGAGGAAGTAGAAATTTTGAGGAATTATAATTTTGAATTTATAAAATTTATAAGAATTCTAGAAAGTTGATTATTTTGAGAGGTAAAAGCAAGATTTGGGTTAGAGGAGTATACAATGAGAAGTTTAATAGCTTAACAAACAAGAAGGAGGAGAAAGTCTTAATAAAAAAGCTTTGGAATTTTACTTATGACGAAATAAAGAAGAGAATATGGATACCACGATGTGAAGAAATAAAAAGACTAGAAGATAAAGTGAATATACAAAAATTAGATCTTAGGAAAAAAAGGGAAAGATTAAATGAAAAATTAGAAGACGGGACGGAAAAAATTAAAAAAATAAAAACAGAAGAAAATATAGAAAAATTAAATAAAAAAGATTTAATAAAAAAATTAGTTTAGTAACGTTAGAAAAATTAACAGGATCGAAATAGTATTAAAAATACATGGGATACAACAGTTAGAATATGTAATTTTTTAGATTAGATACAATTTAGAATAGTTTAGTTTAGAAATTTTGTTTTTTTTTTAAAATACTTAGTTATAGGGTTTTGAGAAGATAACTTCGATAAGCTCTAAGTGTTTTAATGATTAATTATGTAATTTGTGCTACAACGTCATAAACTTTTTTGTTTGCACGTAAATCTCGTAAAACNTTTAAAAAAAAAAAAAAAAAAAGAATAAAATTGACTTATTATCTACTATCTTGATGCTAATTTTATGTAAATTATCAACCTATTAAATTCTATTATATTTGTATTATGTAGTTATATTATTTACCTCAGATGTCAAATATCATTAATAAATAAATAATATATATAATGCCTGCTAATTAATAAATTATTTTACAGGCTAACTCTAATAAAAATACCGCTCAATAATATGACAAAAAGTCTCGTACCAAATTCTTTAAATAGTGCTACAACGTCATAAACTTTTTTGTTTGCACGTAAATCTCGTAAAACCCTTATCGACAATCTTGTTTGTTAATACATTTTGTGTCAGACTACCCTGTACAAATAACTATAACAATAAATTAGTTTTTAATTTATAATAAAAAAATGCACTATAATTTTTTATTTGTTCTCATAAATCATAATAATTGTACCGTAATACCTTATCTTTAAAACTGTATTAATAATAAAGTTTTGTATTACTGTTATGTTGTGTACAGTATACAGTATAGCAACACCCTTGTGCCTTGTGTAAAATAATGTCAATTATATGTAACCATAATATGCTGATCACTAATTTAAAATTTTGACGCATTTTCCTTAAAAAATTATTCAAGTATGTATGATGTAAATATAAGTCTGTGTAAAAAATGTGACAAGGAATGTCAACATGAATGGTGTGGTCCATGTCAAATAAATAATTTGAAAGAAAATTTTAGAAACTGGACTAGCGAAAATGAAAAAATCGACAATCTTGTTCAAGAAATGCAATTAAAAATTAATTATTATAGTACAGTATTTGAATGGATACCATATGATCAGCTTGAAATTATTAAAGAAATAGGTAAAGCTACAGTAAATTTAGCAATATGGAAAGATGGTCCATTATATTATGATGAATATGAACAGATATATAAAAAAACATGTCCAAATAAAAAAGTTATTTTAAAATATTTGTATAATTCACAAAATATTACCAATGAATTTTTAAATGAGGTATGAAATTTCTTTTTTAAATACTTTTTTTTTTTTAGTATAATAATGATTTTCTTACTATATTTAATAGGTTAAGTCATCTTCAATTAAAAGATATGGTATTGATATTCCTTATATATATGGAATATCCCAAAATATAGAAACAAAAGATTATATCATGGTTTTTCAAGATGGATATTGTGAAAAGTGTGGTGAAATATATACAGATATAAAAAAGAAGTGGTGTAAACCATGTCAAATAACTAATTTAAAAGAAAATTTAGGAAACTGGATTAGTGAAAATAGTGAAAATGAAAAAATTGATAATTTTATTCAAAAAATACAATTAAAAATTAATTGTTATAATGATATAATATTTGAATGGATACCATATAATCAGTTTGATATCATTAAAGAAATAGATAAAAGTGATTTTGTTACAGTACATTTAGCAGTATGGAAGGATGGTCCATTAGAATATGATCATTATAAAAAGGAATATATAAGAATTAATAATATAAAGGTAGCTTTAAAAATTTTATCCAACTCACAAAATATCATTGATGAATTTTCAAATGAGGTATGAATCTTTGTTTAAATTCAATTTAAATTCTTTAGACTAATAAATTTGTTTATTTTAATAGGTTAAATTATGCTCTATTATTCCTACTGATTCCTTCAATAAATATGGAGATATTTTTAAAATATATGGAATATCTCAAAATCCAAATACAAAGGATTATATTATTGTTATTAAAGATGCATGTTGTAAAAAATGTGGTGATAAATATTCTATATATAAGTATGTGAGTTTTATGAAACGTAAGTGGTGTAAACAATGTTCAATAAATGAATTGAACAAAATTTGTATAAAAAGTGGAAATGAAGAAATAGATGATATTGTTCAAAAAATGCAATTAAAGATTGATGAATGTGATGATATAATATTTGAATGGATACCGTTTAATCAATTTGATCATATTGAAGAAATAAGAAAAGATGGTTTTGTTACAATTTATTTAGCAATATGGAAGGATGGTCCATTATATTATAAAGACAATAAAGAGACATATAAGCGGAAATCATACAATAATTATAAGAAAGTTACTTTAAAATATTTACAGAATATTAATGAGGTATGAAGTTTCTTTTTAAATAATTTTTTTAAATATAATAATGATTTTCTTACTATATTTGACTAATAGATCAATTCATATTCAATTAAAAAATTTTCTGGTGATACTCTTAAAATATATGGAATATCTCAAGATCCAAATACAAAAGATTATATCATGATTTTAGGAGATGAATATTGTAAAGAATGTGGTAATCAATATACACAAATATATCATAAATGGTGTAAACCATGTCAAATGAATGAATTGAAAAAAGTTTGTATAAAAAGTGGGAATGAGAAAATTGATAATTTTATTCAAGAAATGCAATCAAAAATTGATCGTTGTTATGATATAGTACTTGAATGGATACCATATGATCAATTTGATGAGGTTAATAAAATTGAAAATAATGGGTTTGAAATGTTACATTTAGCATTATGGAAAGATGGCCAATTAAGATATGATAAATATAAAAATTTATATATAAGAATTAATAATAAGAAGGTTATTTTAAAATGTATATATAACTCTCAAAATATTATTGATGAATTCTTGAATGAGGTATGCTAATTTTTATATAATTCTTGTATATATGTTTAATGTAATAATAATTTTTTTTATATTTAATAAGGTTAAATCATATTATTTTAATAAATATAATATTAAAATATATGGTATATCTCAAAATCCAAATACAAATGATTATATTATGGTACTTCAAGAAGTATATTGTGAAAGATGTGGTAAAATACTATATATATCATATAGTGAACCGAAAAATAAGTTATGTAAATTATGTCAAATAAATGATTTAAAAGAAAATTTTGTGAACTGGACTAGTGGAAATGAGAAAATTGATAATTTTATTCATCAAGAAATGCAATTAAAAATGGGTTGGTTTGGTGGAACAATATTCGAATGGATACCATATAATCAGTTTAATGATATTAAGCAAATAAACAAAGATGAATTCGGAACATTACATTTAGCCACATGGAAGGACAATGTTGAAGTTTCTTTAAAACATTTATATAATTCACAAAATAATATTGATGAATTTTTAAATAAGGTATAAAATTTTTATGTAAATTTAATTCAATATTTTAATATAGTAAAAAATATTTCTTACCCTTAACAGGTTAAATCATATTCTAATAAATGTGGAATATCTCAAAATCCAGATACAAATGATTATATTATAGTTTCTGTAAATATATTTTGTCAAAATTGTGGTAACCAGTATACAAATCCAGAATATGAATGGTGTAAATTATGTCAAATAAATTATTTAAGAGAATTTTTTGAAAATTGGACCAGTGGAAATGAGAAAATTGATAATTATACTCAAGAAATGCATTTACAAATTGATAATTATAATGATACAGTAGTTGAATGGGTGCCATACCATCAGTTTGAATATATTAAAGAAATAAGAAAAGATAGGTTTGGAACATTACATTTAGCAATATGGAAGGATGGTCCATTGGAATTTGATGATGCTATATTTATAAAAGGATATATAAGAACGAATAATGAAAGAGTTATTTTAAAATGCATATATAATTCACAAAATATTACAAATGAAATTTTAAGTGAGGTATATGATTTTCATAATTTAAATGCTTTTTATTAATGTAGTATTAATATTTTTTTATTAATAGGCTAAATCATATTCAATTAAAAATTCTGATAATCTTCCTTCAATATATGGCATATCTCAAAATCCAAGTACAAATGATTATATTTTAGTGCTTCAAGATGGATATTGTGAAAAATGTGGTGAAATATATACAGATATAAAAAAGAAGTGGTGTAAACCATGTCAAATAAATAATTTAAAAGAAAATTTTGTAAACTGGACCAGTGAAAATGAAAAGATTGATAATTTCATTCAAGAAATGCAATTAAAGATTAATGGTATTAATAATATAATAGTTGAATGGATACCTTACAACCAGTTTGATAATATTAAGGAAATAGGAACAGGTGGGTTTGCCACAGTATATTCAGCAAAATGGAAAGATGATATATTGCATTATAATGCTTCTGAAAAGGAATATAAAAGATACAAAAATCCAAATCGTTTAACAGTCGCTTTAAAATGTTTATACGACTCACAAAATATTACTAATGAATTTTTAAATGAGGTATAAAATTTATTCATAATCTTTTATCATCTTTTTTAATGTATAAATAATTTCCTTTTTACAATATTAATAGGCTAAATCATATTCAATTGAAGAATGCTTTAATAATAATAATCATATTCTTCCAATATATGGGATATCTCAAAATCCAGAGACAGGAAATTATATATTAGTTCTTGAATATGCAAATGAAGGAAACTTAAATGAGTACATTAATAAGATTTATCATTGGCCAGATAAATTGGAACTATTAATTGGAATTATTAATGGACTTAAAAAAATTCATGAAAATCAGATGGTTCATCGTGATTTTCATATAGGAAATATATTATGTAGTGGTACTTGTACTGTATATATTTCAGATATGGGATCATGTGGAGAAGTTTGTAATGTAGATAAAACAAAAATTTATGGAGTTATGCCCTATGTAGCTCCCGAAGTATTAAGAGGAAATACTTATACTCAAGCGGCAGACATATATAGTTTTGGTATGGTCATGTATTTTGTGGCAACCAAAAGACAACCTTTTGCCAATTATGCACATGATCAATATCTAGCATCAAGTATATGTAATGGAATTAGACCCGAAATAAATGAGTCAGAAATACCAAAATGTTATAATGACTTAATGAAAAAGTGTTGGGATCCAAATCCTAAGAATAGACCAGATGCTGTTAAAGTGGAAGAGTTGATTCAACTTTTTTGTAATTCTTATAATAATTCATATAATGTATATAACGGAGATAAGGAAATTAGAAAGCAATTTGATGAATCAGAAGAATATATAAGGGCAAATCCTTCATCTACTGAAAATATTCAGTTAACTACTCATCCAGAAGCATATTATACATCTCGTTTACTTAATCCTTATACAAAAGATCTTTTAAAGTGTGATAATAATTCAGTAATGATTGATTTTACAAAGTATGTTATATTCATTTAAGTCTTTTTTTTATTAAAAAATAATTATTAATATTTTAAAAAATTCTTTTGTAGGTCATCAATTAAGAATGAAAATGATTAATCAGAACAGTCAAAGGGGTTAATTTTATTAAATAGTAGCATTCATTGCAGAAATTTTTAAAATCGAAACCATATCGTGACCAAGTCGAAATTTTATCATAAACCTTATAACAAGGTTTGGTCACGATATGGTCTCACATCGTTCAAGTCAATCGTATGTATAAAGTTGATGCATATTAAGGAGATCGTCACCTGATTTAACTGGGTCGTACAAATATCGTATCGGGATTAGTCACATATATATTAGAAATATATTAAAGTTGTATTTAATATATATAAAAGTTATATTTAATGCATATAAAAGTCATATTTAATGTATCGTAAATTTGCGTTTACTTTATAGTTAACATATCGTGAAGTTGCATTTAATTTATATACAAGTTATATTTAACATATCGTAATATTGCATTTGATTTATATAAAGGTATATTTAACATGTCGTAAAATTGTATTTAAAGATCAAATTAATTTTTATTTTCAATGTCGCAAATAAATCATAAAAACTCAACTCTAATTAAGAAAAAAAGTATTCTATTCTAAATCCAATTGTACGTAAGTTTGTTGTTCTAAATCATGAATAAAATGAAATTTTTTTATGAACAGTAATTAATAAATAAATAATAAACATTAAACGGCTTTGAAAAAATATAAATTTCGCATATACAAATCAAATTCTGCCGTAATATCCTTAATGTCGCAATCTTAATGCCGTAAATGTTCTAAAAATAGAAAAATTTAGAAAATTAAAAATAAACGCTTCCCGTCTTCCTCTAATTCTCTTTACCTCATCAGCACAAAGTCTAATTCGTCCATTTCAACCCCAAAAAGCTGGCGTCTCTATTATAAAAGAAAAAGAAACATTAGTAAACGTTTCTTAAAAATAAATTTAAAAAAACACCACTCCCAATTTACCCGTCAAGCTAAGTCCATTCCAAGAGTCCGGTGTCTACAAAAGAAGAAAGAACGTTAAAAACATTCCTTAATTAACATATACCACCCATCCCATT